CCTTAATGATCAAGTGCTTGAGAAGTCCAGTTCTTCCTGGCAGAGCATCTGTGTTGACGTTTATATCATTGCCCTGCTGTATGGGAAAGGCATGCTTTCTCTTGCTGTGTGCCTAAAAATAGGATGGAATATAGCATTGTATGAGATATTTTAAGATAGCAAAAACATTTAAGAGGTTAAAGGTTTGGCTTTTGGATCAAAAAATATTGGCAAATATAACATGTCGTGTTTTTCGCAGACTGACTTTTTTCTCTAGTTTGTTAGTGATTTAGATACTTGGTGGGGCAGTTTTTCTAGGTTTATTTGAAAAACCCACTCTGCTGACTTCTGTGTCAGTTCCCTCATGAAGAGCAGGCCTGAAAGCAGCCTCTATTTATATTCCCTTCTTCTTTTTTGGAAAATCATTTGTTTCATTAGGAAGAGAGAGAGAGAGAGAGAGAGAGAGAGAGAGAGAGAATGCTTTGTACGTTATAGATAGTGACTTCAAAATAAAACTGGCTCATTTCAGTGTCTAATTATTTTTAGTGAGCTTGGAGGGTTTTAATTAAAATTTAGGAGTGCTCTTCAAGCTCTCCAACCTCCAATTTTATCCCACTGTATTGTGGGGCACTTGCCACTGTGGAAAAATGTACAGTAACTGGCATGTGTATCTTTATGTTTCCTGATAAAGAATGTGGGTGGAGGATCAATGGGATATAAATATATATTGACAGATTTAGTTGCAAACCAAAGTCATGTGTACATTTGATAAGTTAGCATTGTTTTTAAATATGTAGAAAAATTATTGCATTTGAAACTTAGGATTCCTGTGGTAAAAATGAAAGGGAAGGCTTTATTATTTTCTTAAGAGTTAATAAAATCTGCATATAGAGACAGCAGTCATTGTTTTTTCTCACTAAAATATTTGAAAGATGTTTTTCTATGTGAATTTCCTAATCTAGCACTTCTGACCTTAGATTTCACATTGAGGTTAAAAAAAATGAATGTTTACTTATAGTAAATTGTTTTAAAGTACAATAAAAATTTCCCCACCATTCTTTTCTCTTCCCCATGCTTTAATTTTAATAATGATTTATTTACTCTATTTGACCCATATGAAAAAAATCTTTATTTTGTGCAGAATAGAAGTTACAATTGTCAAAGTTTTTTTTTTAACTAGGTGTAATTTAAAAACCTTTCCTAAAATATCATCATACAGGTTAGGAAATAAATATCTTACATAATCTCACTTTGTATTTCTCTTATACCATAAAAATATTAGCAGGCAAAAACATTACTAAACCATGAAAAAGCACATCTAGTCTGAAACCTGAGTACTCAGGAAGGAGAAACTTTGCTTCACAACCCACTATGCAACTATTTTTAAAAAAATAGACCTGAATCTTTTTTTCATTGTAAGTTTCTTGAAAAAGACAAGCTTAAATTTGCAAAGAAACTCCCTCCCAGAAAATATGCAACAGAGAACTATTTTATAATTTATCCAAACTTTACATCTTTGTTTAAAATATGGGAGATAACAAAAGTCCAACTTAAGATTTTTTTTTTCTTTAGCTTTACCAGAGTTTGAACTCAGGGCCTTGTGCTTGCTAGGCAGACACTCTACTGCTTGAAACATACCTACAGCCTATGTGCTAGAATTTTGATAGTCCTTTTAAAATTCCCCTTATTAATAAAATTAGGCAAAAATAAATGTAAGATCCTGCATTTTAAAGTCTTGGCATTTTATGAAATGCCATATTAATACAGAAGCATTATGACTTACATTTATTTTTATATATGTAATGATGGTGGTATTTTATACTATAATTTTGTGATTCTTTTATCTCAAGTTCCAAAAAGCATATAGTTCCTTTTCTGTTTTTTTTTTTTTTCAGCTGAAGACAACTCAGTCACTAAACTCTGAATAGCTAAACTTAGGTAATGAAATTTACTGCATTTTGTTTCATTGTTGGGAGGGTTTTGGGCCACCATAACTGTGAGAGTTATAAATTAATTAAAAAAATATTTGAATGTGGAATATAGTCCAAAATTACCTGGGAGATGTCATTTCTTTTTTTCTGTTTGGAATCGTATGTGCCTACTCTGTTAAGGCTGTTCTGCTTTGTCTTACTGTCTCTGCATACATAATGAAAAATTCATCTTCTTTACTTATTCTTACCTCTTTGGTTTCTGCAATTGTTCTAGATCATAATAGGGCAAAGTCTGATTTGATCCATTTTCTAGGTAAAGCTAGTGTCCTACTAATGTAGCTGAAGGATGCAGCAGAAGGGAAGTGAATCCTACTTTTAGTTTACACCATTACCTGGTAAATCAGTCCATTCCTTAATGGAGTAGGAAATGTGACAATATAAGTTTTTATTTGTAACTTTGTACCTATTCCATTTTTCAGTATTTCTAATCAGAAACTTTCATTGGGGAAGAAGTATCTTCTGCCTCTATAGTACTTGCCCCTTTTCTTGCTTTACATTATAACATGGGAGATGCTTAGCACCAATTGTGGTACATGAGCTCTTAGAGGTTTAAGTCTGTTAACTAGGGAAGAAAGCTGTGAGATTTTCAAAGTATTTTCTTAAGCTTTGAAACTTCTTGGAATCTCCTAGAAGTAAGATGAAATGTTGATAAGATTGTGTATAGTGACTTTTATTGTCCTGCAGATAACTACTGGTTAGTAGTTATTACTAAATATTTTTGTAGCTGTAAATGCAGATATACAGTTTGCTTTATTTCTTCTCTCAGTTTCTCTTCTACTGAAATGGGAACACATTTAGATAGATTAAATCAGCATTAGGATAAGGATTAATTTTCTAATAGAATACAAAATGCTTTGCAGTTGTTAACCATTTTATTAATGAGTAGCTTTTATGTAAAACTGTCCACATGATTTGACTTATGCTTAAAGTGTGTGTTCCTGTTGTCCATATAGGAAGTTTTCTCCCATGAAGTTTCAGCGTTCTTTTCTTGATGCTTTTAAAGATTTCAAGTCTATTTATAGAAATGAGAGACATATTTTGGTCTGTTTTTACATCTACTATGTATCTAGTAGGTATGAACTTGCTCTGAATTTGTGATCATTACTTATAAATTGGGCTTTTGTCTTTGGCTACTATAATATATGCTGTCAGCTCAAAATTTAACCAAACAATTTATGCTCTTGGACTTGCATCAGTAAATATCAGTTTAACACAATGATACAACATATATGAAAGTGTTAAAAAAAGGTAACAAAACTATGTAGGGTATGAAATTCAAGATTTTTATTGTTTTTTTCCCTTATTTATAATCTAGTGTTATGCCAGTCTCTCAGAAATTCAAACTTGATTTGAGAAAAAAAAATCTCTTATAGGCATGTCTTTGTAGATTTGCTACTTAACTTTTAAAACAGTTTTATCTTTTTATGAATTTAGCATGAACACAATATAGATATAGAACAAAATATATACCCCACTTCTGAATTTGAAATAGAAAAATAACAGGAGACCATTTGCCAATTAAATAAAAACTTCCCCATTGGAAGGTCACTCAGAATCTAATCTTGAACCACAGAGAATCACTTATTAAAGCCTAAGAAAATAATGGGAGAGAATGTAAAGACAGAAGGAAGGCAGGAAGGAAGGTGAGAGAAGTTAGGAAGAGTCAGAAAGCTTGCGTATAATAGAATTTCTATTTAGAAAGACCTTCAGCTTTTGTGATAGCCGGCTGGTGTGGTTGCTCCACATCAGCCATTTCATGACACACAGATCTGGATTCCATCCATTCCTTGATTGACGGATTGGGTCATGAATAGACGCTAATTGTTCCCACCGATGCGCTCTAACCATTGCAGTGGACTTCTCATCTCTTAAGCGGGATCGCTACCTTTTTCTGAAGCTTATCCAGCTTCTAAAGCCCTTGAGAGCCTTCTTGACCTAACTGTCATTCTGAAAAATTCAAGGAGGTTTAGAAGCTGAAGGGGAAAAATAAAAGGGGAAATGCCAAGTCGATAGGTGCTGATATGGAAGAGAAAAGGCATTTGGAATTGGGGTAACCATTTTAAATATAATTTTAAAAGAAAGTTATCAGAATCTTGACACTTGGAATGTTAAAGTTGAATGGGCGTATGCTTTGCACTTAGCATTTAGTATTTGAATCTGCATTCACTTTTGGAAACATGGCCTATTTATTAAGAGTTGAGGCTTAAAATGTTAAAGTAGGTGCAAACACTAGCCCCAGTTGCAAATCCATCTGAATATAGAGAAAAAATAACTTATAGAGAAAATTTTGATAATTATTAGGACATTGTAAAGTTTGGATTTCTGTAACCTTTATAAATCTTTATAAAAACAAATATAATTACTCCTTATAATTTAGTATGTTATTTAAAAATGCATTGAAGCAAATGATGCTTAAAATGTGGTTTCCTTAACAAAATATGTGTGTTTTGTAAAAAATTACAGCAGTTTTTATTAGTAGGGCACAGAGAACATCTTGACTTTGTTTTCTTTTTTACTTTGCTCTAAATGAGTATTTTACAAAAGTTGTATTTCTTTGTTAAGGACTAAGTGGTTACAGGTTGATTGGCCTCTTCTCCCTTGAAGATCTGTCACTGTTCCTTATACAGCACATAAATTTTGCTTGGACTTTAAAAAATCACCTGGACTAAAAGTATATCATCTGAACTTAAAATGAGAAAGAGGCATAGTTTCTGTCTTAGCCTAAGAAATGATGACTGCTGATTAACAGAATTATGAATTCTAGTAATTATGATTAATAGAATTAGGAAAAGATTATTGAGCATTATCCTTTTTATCTCTGGGCCATAGCTTAAATTATGTTCTGGGAAAACAAACTCAGTTGTGGTATTTTGTAATATATAGAGTATGGAATTGCCTATATTGCAGAGTTAAAACAACAGCAGCCAAAAAAGCTTTCTACATTTTTAAATGCAAGAATTTCTCCATAATCTGGCCTTCTGAATTTATAATATGCATATATTTTTAATGCTTACTTTTATATTTTAATAGATTCCTCCTGCATGGAAAAACTACTTTCAAAAGATTGGAAGGAAAAAATGGAAAGACTAAATACCAGTGAACTTCTTGGAGAAATTAAAGGTACAATATATAAAACATCAAATATATCAATGTTCAGATATTATTTTGTATAATGACATATTTACTGATCTCTCTATAAAACTCTAAATTTCTTACCTCTAACACTCAATTATATATAAGAAGGTAGATGTATAACAAGTCCCTGAACTTTTTTTCTTGGTAGGGTTTACAGAATGAAAATCCTGTCTTCTCTTGGTATCAGTCCATACACAGATGATTTTATGGTACATACTACCTCATGAATTCACTTCACAGAAAGTATTGGGATGAAAAACAGTTATGTCAAAAAATGAAGAGGAATTTAAGTTAAAGATATTTTTAGTTTATCCTCTTAAAATCATAATGATAGCTTGAGTTAGGAATCCAAATTATTAATTTGAATTTCTTCTGATCAAAAGAGGTTACCTATAGCACCTTTAAAAAATTCTGTGGAATGTAATGTATATGATGGTTTATGGGTGAATTCTGAGGCCTGTTTTCCTTGGTTCACTTGCTGGCTCTTGTCACTTACTAGATGTGCAGCTTTTGGCAAACTGCTGGACGTTTCTACATTTCATATTTCTTGTCTTTAAAATGGGGATAATAATAGTATCTACTTCATAGGTTCATTGAGAGAATTAAGTGTGTAAAGCTCTTAGACATTAATGTGTCTGTAGGATCAGAGATTGGTTATTCTCAAACAGATTTCATAGGATTTAGTATTTCATGATCTCTGACTTATTTATTTATTTGGAATTGAACCAGGCAAGTGCTAGAGCAAGCACTAGGCCATGTACTAGGAATGCATTCTACTACTGAGCTACACCCCCACTCATGTTATTATTTTTAAACGTGTTAAGTAGACAATCCCAGACTAGTTCAGTATTAAGCCTATCAGTCAAAAAGTTATACTTCTTGTGTAGCCAAACTCTTGATGATTTATTTATGGAGATGGAGTGCTGTATTCCTAGTTTTTTGTATCATGAATGAAATCTATGGTCATTCATCAATTCCATCAGTCATCTCTTACAGTAAGCACTCTGATTTGCACTAATAATTTAGGAACTTACATTAGTTTCTGAAATTATTAAACAGCTTTACTTGAATCTTGCTGTTGGTTGAGGATAACATCTCAGTTAAGATGACAATTTGGCAATGAGTATCTCACAAAAAATGTTATTTTGGTTTTACTACAGAAAATAGTATAATGTTGGAGTATGTTGTGTTCAACTCAAATGAAGAGAAAAGTCATTCTTTTCCCAATGAACAATTAATAACTCATTCCATTAACTAGTACAGTGTCAAAATCAAGTGGAAATTGAATATTATTTCAAATTTATCTGCTTCTGTTTTGTACTCATACAGGCTATTTTGGAAAAAAAGAAATTCAACTTATAACTGACGGGTAAAAAGAAAGTCATTAGTGACATATTCTCTATCCAGCTGCAATAACATGGTGTGTGCTACTTTGCACGTCATTCTGTGTTTTCTTCCCTTTCCAAAGTCATTGGTTTTGTAACAGTGAGAACAGAAATGCTTTATGCAAAGGCAAGCTTTTGCCAGCATGAATGATGGGGGTCTTGCATTCTCTTAGTAATGCAGAAACTAAAATTTTATATGACTCAACACTGAGTTTTTATACTTCAGGGTATGTTCCCCCCATACAGCTCATCTTTCTTTATATTTAATTATGACTTCAAAATCTAAAAATTGTAAAGTCTTAGATGCTCAAAATGCTTAAAGTGAAACACATACAAAATTCTTTTCAAATTCTTTACTTTTTTCCTGGATTCTTTATTATTTCTTTAAAAATTTTTTCCTTTATTATTATGCTGGGTGGGGGTATATTGTGGCATTTACAAAAGTTCTTACAATGTATCAAACATACTTGAATTCATGATATGGGAACTTTCATTTGTGTGCGATTCAGAGTTTTATGGACATAAAAATAATATTCTTACTAAATTTCTCATTTTGATTTATTCTACATTTTTGTCTTGGAACTTCATCTCCTACACCTAAATTATTTTTATTATCGTAAAACATGGCATAAAGTGAGGTTTTCTTAATTGATTGACCTTTTGTTTAACATTTAAGTTGTCTATTTTTCCTTTAAATGACTCACCTTGTTCTTACTGGTTTATAAAAACTCAAAATATATTTTAATAGTATTAAATTTTGTCATTTGTATTACATTTTGTTATTTGCTTCATTTTATGGGTTTGTTATTAGTGTTTCCATCCCTTTTTAAATGTTTTTTTGTGTTGGAGTTTGTTTAGAAAGGCTTTTTCCACCCGCAGATTAGATAATATTCTGCCAAATTTTTCTTCTAGGTAGTTGGCTATATTTTAAAGCACTTAACCCCTTTATTCCTCTTGAGTCTATTTTGATGCATAATGTCAACTAGAGGTATAACTTAATTTTTTCTCAAATAGTTAAGCAAATATATCTGTGCTGATAATTAAATCTACCTTATCCCCTCTCCTTGAAGTAGTATGTTTTATTATGCTCTGATTACATATTTGAAACCATTTGTTAGTCTGGTTCTATTCTGCTGATCTTTCTATCTAAAATTTTATTGGTACTGTGCTACATTAATCACTGTAACATTATAGTGTATTTCAAATCTTTCATAATTTTAAGCTATTTTATCATTTCCTCACATTTATCTTAGATTTTTCAACTTGTAAACTAGAATCCCAAAATTATTTTTCAAAGATTACATTTTTGTAACACTGTAGGGTATGCTGGCATATGTAAAATCAGTCTAATTCTTTTGTGTACTTCAATAGTACATAGATAGTAAATTTTTCTTATTTATTTTACTGGTTCATTTTATAATTTCTTTTTTTATTAAACTTATTAGGTCTAGTTATATTTCAGCTGAGATGTATGTCTTTTTGTTCTCCTCCTTATATTACAATATTAAGAAGAAAATATTGAGTTAGTAGCAGATATTTTGACCTAACTTTTATTTTGTGGTATTGATTTTAATATTTCACATTAAGTATTTTGTTGACTATTGATGTAAGCTATTCTTAATAATTTTAAATGATCATTCCAGCCTATTAGGAGTTTCTATGAAAAAATTAAATTTTATTTTATAGCATACCTTTTATTCCTTTTGAATCTATTTTGATGCACAATATTTGGGTTTTTAAAGATTTATTATTAAAATAAGTGCTTATTAGTCATGGTATAGTCTTATTTTAATGTATTACATAATTTTATTTGCTCTTTTTTTATCTGTAATAAAATGGGATTAATTGTGCTTTTCTTTATTTGTACTATTTGTACTGTTCTGGTTAACTTTTAGTTCCACAGTTCATAGTAGAATTGGGCAACTTTTATAGGCAATGTAAGTCTAATCAGAATTGTTACTATGAATGCCCCTCCCTCCTGGAAAATGAATATATCCTAATAAAAATTTTATTAAAAAATAAAATATTAAGTAGATAATATGTGAATTATTTATTTCTTGAAATTCTGAAAAATATACTCATAAAATATCTGAGCCTAGAGTTTTCTTTGGAAATAATTGGTTTCATTTTGTTTGTTACATTTTTCATTTCTTTTGAAGTCAGTTTGCCATAAAATATTTTTCCTAGAAAATTATCTATTCCTGAGATTTTTCACATATAGTCAGCATTGATTGACTATACAATATTAAATAGTATCCTTAACTCCTCCATTTATTTGCTGTTACATATCTGGTTTTTACTTTTGCGTGTTTGATTTTTCCTTTGCCCTTCACTTTTGCTTGCCAGCAGCTTTTGTGTTTATTAACCCTGTCCTCCTAAAGACCCAAGTTTTGGACTTGTGTATCCATTCTGCTGCTTGTCATTATGCCAACCAGTTAATCTTCCCTTCACCTTTATTATCTCTTCCTTCCTTATTTTCCTTGTACTTTTTCTTTTGTTTGTTTTTTGATATTCTCTAATTTTCTAGACTGATTCATTTAAAAACTTTTAAATTTAATAATAAAGTTACTTTTGTTTATGACTGTGTTTCTAGGAATAGTTTTATGTACCCAATGAGTTTCTGCTTTTAGAATTCTCATTGTCATTATTTTCTGAATATTCATCATTTATATTATTTTGTAGACACTCTATGTTTACATATTATTGTTAAGTTTGTATCTTTTGTAAAGTTTTATAGTCCTACAGTATAACAAAGTTGGGAAAGGGAGGACCTTAACTTCTGTGTATCACCGCCATTGGAAAATTCTATGTGGTGGGTAGTGGAGGGAAAGTAACATGTCAGCTGTAGAATGGATAAAAGCAGTATTGAAAACTGGGTCTTAACCCAGGGACCTTAATATTCCTACATAATTAAGAAAAATAAATTAATAATTTTCTTGTAGACTTCACATTAAAAGTACTTTCACATAAACTTCTTTGTGTAAATGAAGACAGCAATGTTTCCAAAACCCTTGATAGGAGTGAGATTAGTGCTGAACTTTGGGAAACACTGAATTAGAATTGTCAATGAGTCTATGTCTGAGCCTTGTCTAATATTTTTACTTTCTATATTTGGGGTGCACAACAGCATTTTGATATAGATATACATAGTGAAATGGTCACCACAATTAAGAAAATTAGCATATCCATCACCTCACAGTTACTTTTTTTCTGTGTGTGCATGTGTGTGTGTGTGTGTTAAGAACATATAAAATCTCTCTTAGCAAATTTCCAGTATGTAATACAATATTATTACATCATTAAATATAGCCCTCATCCTGTATGTTAGATCTCTAAAGTTATTTATCCTATGGAACTGCATCTTTGTACCCTTTCACCTATCATTTTCCCCTTCTCCTTGCCCCTGGTAGTTACTGTTTTTATGTTCCTTAAGAGAAAGATCCCACCCAATCCTCCACCACCATTTTTCCTAGTTGCAGCATTAGTTGAGATAGAATACAATAATTGGCATAGATTCAACAGCAGCAATCTGAAAGCATGGTTCAAGCCAGATTTACATTGTTACAAGTATTGCAAAATAGCTTTATTAGTGAGAACTGA